GGTAGTAGTAGTAGTAGTAGTAGTCGTAGTAGTAGTAGTAGTAGTAGCTGTGGAAAGTAAGAATAGTAAAAATGGTAGCAGTAGTACTAGTACTAGTACTAGTAGTAGTAGTAGTAGTAGTAGTAGTAGTAAAAAGTAGTAGTACTAGTACTGGCAGTGGTCTCAGCGTTAGTCGTAGTCTTGTCGTCGTAGTAGTAACAATAATGCCTATAGTAGTTGCGGTAGTGGTAGCAGTTAGCACAAGCTGCAGCAAGTAGAAGTAGTATTACCAGCAGTAGTAGGAGTAATGGTATAGCTCCCCCTCCTCCTCCTCCTCCTCCTACTTCAACTACAATGACAATAACAACAACTACAACAACTACTACTACTGATAATAAAGATACTACGACGAATACTGATTCTACAGAGAGGCCTTAGAACGCTCAAGAACGTCAGACAGACCATCCATGACGACGTGCACTAATCACCTTCCTCCACCATGACCCTGTATCCTCGCAGTCCTCTGACGGCAAGAGCCCGTCAGGGGGTCTGGTGCTTGCCGATGCATCTGCGTCCTTGGAAGTTCCAAGAAGAACACAATTCTGTGCATGCACATCAAAAGCAGCTGGAATCATCTTGCCTTGAAAGATCTGGCAACCTATGACCTTCATGTGTTTTGCTGTCAACCCCTGTCCTCGTCTTCCTTGGCCTCGTCCGCTTCATCTTTCTGCGCTTGCAAGGCTGCGATCTTCTGTGCCTCATCAAGTGAGAATGTGTTGGCCCTGAGGAAGCTCAATCGCTTGGAGCGATCGGCAACCTTTCGAGTGGTGCTGAGCCCCTTCAAGTCAACCGTGATGGTGTTGGTGCCCATCGTCATGATATCCTCGAAGGACTCGTTGAAGCGGAAGTCGGTGGGGTAGTAGCATTTGTTAGCAAAAACCTTCTGCATGTAGGTCTGATCCGTGCCTTCAATTTGCACTACAAAGGCGAGGAATTTGTCCGCAAAGTTGTGCTCATCGAGGCCGTATAATGGGCTCTTCTCGTCCAAGCGGTGCAGGATGTTCCAAACCTCTGCAGAAGGTGAAGATCCGTTTGGCCAAGAGTCACGAGCTTTGAACAAGAATGCAAACAACGACGACGACGATGGAGACGTGCACCAAACCACCACCACAATAAACACCAGCAGCAACAGCACACACGGCAGCTACAGCAACAACAACCACAACCACAACCACGACTTCGTCGACGACGACAACAACAACGACAACAACGACAACGACAACAACAACAACAACACCAACACCAACACCGCCACCACCCCCGCCGCCGCCGCCGCCACCACCACCACCACCAACAACAACAACAACACCAACACCACCAACACCACCAACACCACCAACACCACCAACACCAC